TACTGATTTTTGATGTGGACATTATGTACAGTTTTGTTTGTTTGTTTGTTTTTTTTAATTTACTGGTTATTATCTGTAATTTAACAAAAGAGGATAAATCTGTTAAAAACAACTTGTAATTTTTCAGTTCCTCACATAGATTGATCAATAACGGCAAATATCTGTAACTAATTATAAGTTCTACTGATTTTAATACAGTAATGTAGTGTCATTTATGTACGCAAATGTAAATGAACAAACTACATTTTAAAAAATACGTTGTGTTTACAGTTTTTGGCCTTTTTAGCAGTTAAGATGTAAATGAATACTTTTTTCTTCAGTTTTACTCGTTATTATCTGTAATTGCAAAACATGTAAAAGAAAGAAAACAGTAAACAAAACACCAAAAAAAACTCTTAAAACTGTTTTTTTAAAAAGTTTATATTTTACAAAGTAGAAGAAAAAAACATTCTACTCTATGGTTGCAAACAGGAGTTTCATGTGTCTGTTTAAAACAGGAAAGCTTTAAATGACTTCTCAGCAATTTCATGGCTGTTTTGCCTCATTAATAGAACACCGACATTTGAAATGCTTCCCACCTGGACACTTGGATGGCAGCTCGAAAAAGTTTGTAACTTGCTATTTTGCAGAAGACAGTAGCATTTTACTCAGCTTGCAGCATTTACAGCTGGAATTGAATAGAAACACCCTGCAGCAGGATCTACTTCTCCACTGGACACTGATCCAGACCTTGAGTTTCTTCAAAGCTGACACTGGAGGAGAGTCCAAGTGATGTCAGTCAACTGAAAAGCAGTTGCCGACTATTATTAATAATCACCTATGTGACACTATTTAAGGAAAAATGTCACATGTCCTCTGTTTCAGACAAAACAAACTTTCTGACACTATCATGTTGGATGTTTGGATATTATTGGCATAATTTTAATATTGATATAGAATTGAATTTCCCTTCTGGGATAGATAAAGTATTTTTCATATCATTTCATTTCATTTCATTTCATATGTGTGCATATGATTTGGCGTTCAACCAACCAAAGTTTAGCTGTCTCTAACTCTTTTTTTTTTTTAGAGTTCCAGTGAAGCAGTAAAGTATCAACCAGTCATGTTTTTTCCACATTTCTATCTCCTGTTCCATTCATTCTAAATGAAATGGAAGAAATATGTATTCCTGCATTTAGCCACGTTGTAGAGCTATCTAACTGTACCCTTGTTTTTACTGTAATATTATTAATGTCAACGACAGTTTAAGCAACACTTTAACACTGACTGGGCCACAGGGTAGCTGGTTCACATGGACTGTAGCTGTTCTCATCATAGCTGTGATATTTGTTTGTCATCAGCATTACTTTATAACTTAAAGTAACCTTTGTGTGCACATTTTTATATCTTGGTTTCCACAAAGTAGACACAACCACTTAGAAGCATCCACGCACAGGTTTTAACATGTTTACTGAGAAAAGGCACAAATCCTAAGATCCAAGATTTAATCATCAGCATTGGATCATTCAAATAGAGGATGCTGTCTGTAGTTTACTCTGGGCTAATGTTCAGCGTGCATGACTCACAACCTTTTCAAAGCCACCTACAGGCAGGTAATATTTGATACCGAATAGATTTAGACTTCTTTTAACCAGGGGCTCAATGGTGTTAAGCTGAGACGCATTTTTGTGAAAAGGTCGTGGTTTCCTTGTCAAAGACCCAACATCAGCACCTAATTTTTGTGTTAGATTGAAAGAATATCACATGCTCTGTAATAAGCGCCTGCTTTGTTGTTGCTCTCATTGCACCCCTCCTCTGTGCATCTAAAATCTGATACAAGAGCTATTCAGTTTTAAGTGCTATTCATTACACCCCACTGAAAATAGCATTCATCCATGCCCTCTAAAGAGAGAAAGACTTTCAGTTTTCTGTCCCCCGTGCCTCTTTTTCAGAATCTCTGCTTTTACTGGCAGGTCTTCCCACCAGACCAACGGACTATAAATATGACCCCTCTGAATGCCCACATCCTTGCCCCTAAAATAAATCATGTGCCTTTCAGCTGCAGCAGACACATGGCACCTACCAGGACGGTCCCGTCTGTCTGCGCAAGCTGCAAATGAGACAAGCAGAGTTCTCAGATCACAATCTAGCAGCACACACACACATACTTAGGGACACCCACAGACAACAGAGCAGAGCAACCCTCTGAAGCACCCTGGGAACTGAGCTGTGCTGCTTCACTCCAGGGCCTGAACACATGGATGCCAGCTCTGGCCCAGCACAGGCCCTGCCTTGCTTTGCCTGTCACTGCTGGCTGCCGGCCGGCCCAGCGCTCTGTTACAGAGAATAGCAGCCAGTGTGGGGACGAGGGGGACTGGAGCTCATCAGAGGGGTTGACTCAGTCCTGCCTACTCCCTCAATGATGTGGGTCTGGCACTCTGCACAGGTGGAAAACGGAAGAGGGTGAGTGGGTAATCATGAGGGTGTTGGCCCCGTTCTGCCCACACAAAAAAAGAGCACAGCCCACAACTATGGCCCTCTTACCAGCTTGTCGTGTGTGGTTTCTTGAGACTGTCATCACAGAGTTTCAGCGATGAGAAACACAGACGGGGAGGAAGAGGAAAGAGAAATACAAAAAAGTAGGACTTGTGCCCGTTGGATTCAAGGAAAAAGACCTCCAGAGGGAAGTGTTTTGGTTTCGTGGAGGACCGAAACTTAGTCTGAGACTACAAAGTACTGAGCAAACTTAATGTGTCAGAGTGGCTGACTAAATACTAACAAACACATCGTACAGTTCGCCTGTTTACTTCTGCATCCTCGCTGGTGTGTGTACCCAAACGGAGAGTGAGCAAACACCGAAACCAACTAACACACCAAATGATTCACACTGAGCTGCTGAGGAAACAGGTAGACAAATTCGCTTTGACGCAAATCGCCTCTGACTTTTGCCAGTCTGTCAAAAGCCTCACCCTTCTCAGGCATTATCCGCGATGGAGCGATACTCTGTCCTTCCGTCTTCTGGGGGGAACGCCGCTGTTGTGAAGCTGGAAACAGGCTGCAGTTGTTTTCTTTGCAAAAACACCTGTCTAAACAGCAGCAAAGCCAAGGGCAAGTCTCGCCTGTCAGCGTCGGTGACAGCTCTCGACAAAAATTCAGCAGAGACAATTCCTAAGACGTCCACTCAAGCGAAACAATGCACGTGTGCTGGAATGACCCCAGCTAGGCCGCCTGGCTCCCCATTAAGACTCGGTGTTGTTTGCAGTAGCACACAGTCACTATTAGCAACACCTGGGAGAAGATGACATAGAAGATATCCACAGAAAGATACAGTCTTTGTCTTGTTTGTCTCAGTGGTTGCACCTAATCCTTCTAAATACATCAGCGGTTTCAGTGACTTTGACTAAGCGGGCAAAAAAAAAGGCTCAAACCAGAACCCTCTCACTGTTGTGCGACAGCAACAAAAGCATGGACTATTTAAGTGATTAATTAATACAGCTTACAACCATTTATAAAGCCGTTTGTATCATCTGTCCAGAGTGGATTTAGGGGCTTTTTCAATGAAGATTTACTGAACAAAGACCAGGTGCCTCATTAGCTACAGAGTCTGTATAGAGGGGGATCTCTGGGGTGGTCAAGTTTCGCTCCTTATGCTTAAATTTCAACACATGGATCCTTAATCTGTAATGTCCTCATCAGCTACAGCCCAGTTCCCATCATCTGCCGCTCATATGAGCACCTCCGGGGCCTGTTCCTGTTGGTTTGTGTGAGCGGCACAGAGTGAAAAATTGCAGGCCCAAATGTGGTAACAAGCTCACAAAGGTTGAGTAATGGGAAAGTCTGCACACATTCACAGGGCTCGTATTGTGGTAAAGCTACACTCCTCAAACTAACATCATTTGCTAATTCAGGGTTTTTGTAGGGTTGGCCAAATTAAATTTTAATCCTACACAGAATGCAACTCAATACAGTAATTTAACAGTAACTCGAGGAGCCAGCGCATGAGTGTAAGATGGAAAACCAGTAGGGATGATATGGCCTAGAATTATTTATTATTTCATCATGTGTGGCAGACAGTTGTACATGGATTAGGCAATTGAAAAATAATTTATTTAGGTTTGTTTAAAAGTGAAGTATGCATGATTGTAATCCAATACACTTTTTGTCAAATATCTCCTCATTGTTCACTATCTGTCAGTTCTTTGTGCGTATGTGTGCTGAAAAAAAATCTGGTTTCCCTGGCTCTGTAAGAGGGAAACAAAGTGGTTTGGGCCGAGGCAAACAACACTATGCAGAGATGGAGAATGCTCTCTCTGCACCAACGCTGAGGCTTGTTTGAATTTCTTTAAACCAGTCACCATCGTCTTGGGCAGGTCTGAGCCCAGGATGCAGCGGTGGTGCAGCTGCAAAACAGCAATGAGGAAATTGCTTTGGTTGAACATTTGCAGGCAGGAAGGTGAGAGCTGTCATTAGAATGGCTAATTCCCCAAAATAATCAAGCATTTCATTTTTCAGTTTTTCAGTTTGTGGGCTGCTGGATTTGTTCTGTAACTAAGGCGATTTTGACAATGGTAATTTTGGCATAAATAGCAGAAGAGGAGGAGAAAGCATTGTTAAATGCGCAGTGGAAATTACAGGTCTGTACCAGAAGTCTGCATCTGGTCAGAAAAGGAGACAGTAACTGTATCTAGCAGTAGTGATTGTGTTTATTACAGGTCTCATGGTTCTGACTTAAACTCCAAACTTGTAACTTTCAAACCAACATAACCACGTATGGCAGAAAAGAAAAAAAAAATTACAACTTCTTTATACGTTCTACGTTTTTAAGGAACATGCTTTTAGTGCTTGACTTGACTTGAGGGTGTTTTGTTTGTTTGTTTGTGTACCTTATTGCAAAATGATAAAAAGGTGCTGCCAGAACATTTTGCAGTGCTGACAGCACTGTGGAGGTAGGTCGAGCTATGCATGACTTCCCAACATACAATATCACAGATTTTGTATTCACAGATGCACTGCACACATTCTTTCCATGTTACATTTGTTTTATTTAGAAACACACATCCATGTGGCTGTATAACATCAACTAAACAGTCACTTTTAACAGTACATTCTTAGTTCTTTTAAAAGTGTACATTTCCTTGAAATGATCAGATTTTACAAGATGCGGCCTGATGATTGTTAATCAGTGAAAGGAGCTTTGAAATGGATCAGAAGTTGCATCTATTGTACACAAATAAATTACACTTATGGCGGCTAATTTGTTAGGTGGACTCCACATTAAATGCCATCGTACCAACATGTACTATCACGTAAAGGCTATTTTGACAAAACTGCTTAAAATCTAAGTTGTTTCTAACAACACAGAAGCTGAAGGACAGGTTATTAAAATGTGGTCAAAATGAAGATCTATGAAGCATTTTATGCATCATAGCCATTCTTCAATGCAAACTTCTGTTCTATAACGGACAGTTGAATAAGGCTATGTAGAGAAATCTAATAAAATGTTTTACATTTCAGCTTAGCTTGACGCTCAAGTACTTCCTGAGTCATATTCATCTATCTATATCAACACTTTACCCACACAGCATCTGAATGTTCCTCCAACAGGATGAACCTGGGAATGTCACATTGTGTGAAAACATGAAGCTAAATCATTGAAATGGACTGTAGACTACAAGATGATGTATTGATAGATTGGTATAGCCTGACGAAAAAAGAATAGAAAATGTACATTTTGATTAAAAATTGAAATATTTCTATGTAAGACAACAGTACACAGTTCACATCACATCACGGCTACAGCAAGCCCCTAATTGGCAAATAGAAAGCTTAGATTCATTTCCATCCACTACAGCATTTTAACACCTATTTCCCTTCTGTTCTACTGATGAGCACCACAGATATTAAGAATACCTCAAAAAATCCTATGAGTGCGCCTTTGGTTTCTCTTCCCTGTCTATTGTCCCTTTAACTCTTACCATGAATCTACTTTGCAGTCGTACTGTAGGTAAAGACACAGATTAAACAGGTTTTATTAACATAATGACTCACTGAATTAAATGCCCCTAGTAGCAATGGTAGAGGAAAATATGCCTATATAGAAAAATATTTTCAATTACCAGAGTGACTGATTTTAACTGTCTTCCTCCTTCAAACAATCAGCTTCATGCTAACGCATAAATCAAGTAAAGAGTCTTTTTTAAAATATATATTCAAGATGATTCTTAGAAATAAAATGATAGCTGCGTGTAAACTTGAAAAAGCTGAGGTTTCCTTTTTGGCAAACCACCCAAGAAATCATTTCTGCTAAATATCCAAACTACAGGCCAAGGCCTCGAAACCGCACAGTCTGTTCTTTATCTCACTCATACAATGGACACACAGGAACACAGAGAACACACTCTGAATACTTTTCATCCACTCATCCCAAAAATCCTGAAAGAGAAATACTGACTAAAGACAATTGTACATCTTTTTGTGTGTGTGTTTTGTGTGTGTATAGTCTGTGTGTGTGTTTTGTGTGTGTATAGTGTGTGTGCGTTGGAGGGGATCACTGCACCACACACATGGAGCTGCGAGGAGGGTTGACTGTCCGGGCCACAGTGTCCTGACTGTAGTTCACAATGTCCGCCTTGACCACACGCTAAAAAAACGGAGACGCAGATGAGCACACATGGAATTAACAAGCTGCATTCAAAAGAAAGCTAGCAACCTCCACAGAGGCCACTGACACAATTCAGCCCCCACATTTTACAGATTTACAAAGAGCGTGAGAAAATATACTCTAAATAAGCTGTTCAAGGCTTTGCTTTCTCACTGATTCCACTCTCATGCCTGTGCTCTAAATATGAAGCTACAGCCAGCAGCTAGTTAGCTTAGCGTATCATAGCACAAAGGCTGCAAACAGGAGGAAACAGCGAGCTTGGGTCTGATCAAAGATAATAACAATCAAGGCTAGTGGGTAGGGGCGATGGCACCTTTGCAGTGGCAGCCCCAAAACTCTTTTAACAAACTCAAGACGTACACATTTCCAATTGCTTTTGATTACTCTTTGCGGTCCTAATATTTGAGTAGTTTGGATTTATCTTGTAAGTTACTAAAACATAACCCCTGTTTCTTTAACATTTCTTGGTGCGTGGCTTGAAATCTATGTGATAATTTAAGACACTGTTCAAAATGTTTGACCAGTGTGTAGTGCTCAAGCCAGTCAGGAGGCAGACTGAAGTCACGCTGAAGTCGTATTTGTTCTCATCACATCCCTCTGGTGAAATCACTCCGCTTAGACGGCACCTCTTAAGCTTAGCATTTCTACAATGCATTTTATAATGTTTCTCATTTATCTTTTTATACGTACACCAGTCATCAGGGTGCCAACTTGTCATTGGGAGCTACTTGGGGTTAAATGTCTTGCCCAAGGACATTTTGGCATGTGGAGGAGCCAAGGATCGAACCCTGCGATTAGTGGAAAACTTGTCTGCCACCTGAGCCACGGCCACCACAGCTTAGATTCCCAACATAGTTTAGAAAACACTTTAAACTCTGTGATAACACCACAACAAAAGAGATGCAACAAACTCTCCCACTTGATTGCTCTACTTTGTCTAAAGCTTAAATCTGAACTAATCACTACTACGATTCTGCTGTTTGCTACAACTACAAAACTACTGTTCTATCACGTTTCTACTGATATGTATCTGTGTAACAGTAGAGACATACTTCCAGCTATTGAACCAAACATATTTTGCTTTGCTGGTTGTTTTCATGTCTAATTGGGCCTTCATCCTGTGGGTAGTCCACCAGCTCAGCCTTCACGATCCTCTGAGCAGGTTCAATGCATCAGAGAGGAGGACGAATGGAGAAAGAGATAAGAAAAAATAAAAGGAAAGGGACAATGACAATGACAGAAACATGAGATAAGTGTGCAAAGAATAGAGAGCACAATCAAATAAATTACAGATAGTTGATGAGAAAGGATGAATCATGGAGTCAGTGTTAGAAATAAAAGGTGTTGAAACAGACAAAGAAGTGACACATGACATCAGTGGACAGAAAGATGAGGATGAAATTAGTCCTAAAGTCAAAATCTGGAACTTTCTTCAATTTTAAAGCAAGCTAAGTCACAAAAACACACTTAAGGAACGAACTTTAGACACTGTAGCTCAAGACTGTAACCAATCATCATTTTTCATTATCAATTAGTTGGTTTGTTTCTAAATAAAATGTCTATATTCTAGTTATTTTCTGGACCCAGTGTGACTGCACTATATTGCTAGATTATTCTATCAACACACCAAATCTTAAAAAACAATTTGTTCAAAACATAAAAGAGGGACAAAAAAAAAAACAGTCCTCACATTTGAAAGTGACAGGATCCAGCAAATGCCACATATGCTTAATAAATGTCTCTACCCACTTTACAGAATGTGTTTTCCCTACTACACTCTATGAACGAATGATTGTTGATAGTGCTGCTCAGCAAGAGCAAAAAAACATCTCTGTGGAATGCTTACAGGTATTTTGTGAGGAACGTATCATAATCTAAAGCATTCTAAAGTTGTATTTTAAGTTAAAAATACAGAATTTGTGAAGGCAGCCATGCAGTTTTATGGTTTATGATCTCCTGAATTCAAGTTCAAATTAGCCTGTATTTAGTCAAAACGGTGCAAAAGGCGGTTGGACTCTCTGCTGTATGGCCAGAGAAGAGCAGCCCACATGGCTGAATACAGGGCCCTGGTTGGCTGTCTGATTAACGAGCTGCCGATGCCTGGTGTCGGAGTCAGTGAGTGATCCGTGGCCTCGCTATCTGATCCAACAGACAGAGGACCATGACGGAGAGGACTGCCAGGCAGATATAATACTGTCGGAGGTTGTGACCCTCATGTTCAGCTCTCTAAGCCTGACAGCTGATAATGAGGCTCTGCTCACCCCACGGCTATACCCCGAGCCATGACCTGCTCAGAGCCTCATCCTGGATCTCTGACAAAAACTGGGTGTAACATTCCTTTATGTTTACAACATTCTAAACTTTATTGTCTCTTTTTTTTTTTTTCAAGATGAAAAAGTGAGCAAAGTAATAAAATACATTCCTGTAGATCAAATGGTCTACAGAAATAAGACAAACATTTTGAGTTCCAGCTTGATAAATATGAGGATTTACTGCTTTTCATTGGGTTTAGGGCCATTTCTTGGACAAAACAAAACATTTGAAAACGTTCCTTTCAGATCTGAGATTGTGTTTTGTATTTTTACTTTTTTTTTTTCAATTTAATACACATAAAAATAATTATCAGATTAATTCATAATGCAAAATCACCTGCAGCTCAAACCACAGCACATTCAGCTGAATGTATACTTCCCTTATTCTTTCTAGAAACATTCCTACCCCTCGTTTTTTTGTTGTACAACTACTGTTGGCATAAATATCTTGATAAGGATATGAAGGTACTGAACGTATGCCAATCAATCATATGTAACTGCAGCAAATAATACTTTACAAATGTTTAATATCATAAACCACTATAGATTTTATTTTATTTTTTCTATTACACACTATGGCTGATATAAAAAAGTTATATCCTTACTCTGCTTTGCTACACTTTGTGTATTTATCAAGGGCAAACTGGATCCAGCCACTCACCCAGCTTGATTAGCCTGGATTAAAGCACTTTGCTTTACTGACAGAACTATCAAGGGAGGAGTGGAAGAAGAAAGTAGATGGACAGCTCCATTAGTTTGTGGTCATTTTCAGTTAGTCAGCAGCTTGAGAATTTGGCCAGTCCTTCCCCTACATGCTCTCCCTTCTCTGGGGGTCCTGACCTCTCTGTAGCCCCTAGGCTCATCAACCACTACCCAGCCAGTGTGGCTCCAGCCGCTCATATCAGACCCAGGATTAATGCTTCTGGGGGAGGTGACCTTGTAAATCCTACAGCTGCCACCACTGGGCACCTTGGTCTGGCTGGCAAGCTGAGACCCTGTTTATTCCCAAAACGGTGGGAGATAAACCAAATAAATGAGACAGCCAATCCTAACCTCCTCACCCCTACAACTGCCTACCTTTAACCTCAGACTTCACGCATTAATGTGGTCAATGTGGGTCTATTTACTGATGAGCAGTGTCAGTGGCAGGTATACCATCAGAGGAGGCACACGTAACAAACTCATGTTTACTCAACAGAAAGTCCTTTACAGTGTGTAGTGACCTCCATCGACCTAACACATTCCCTGTGACCTCCTTTAAGTTCAGGCGTAACACTGCACATAAAGCTGGGAGAGAAGAACCTAAATAAAAAAAATCATCTAGGACTTTACACTCTTGTAGAAATAAATTACAATTTTAGGTGGCTAGTTAAGTGCAGAGTTGATTTATTTATTTTTTTTAACTCGAGTTAGCAAATAAGCCATTTAAGATGCAGCTTAAAAGCCAGCTGTACAGACATTTTTGTGAAATTTGCAATAAACCTTGATGCCACTATGGCTCACCTGGGACTGCTCTATTTCTGCTTTGTTTAACTTCACACCAAGAATCTCGGCAGCCACTCTCTGGAAACAAAGGTATACCTGGAGAGAGATAACAAGAAAAACAGGACAAGGTTAAAATGAACGAAGTCACTCCATGTTTTTACAATGACATATTGAATCTGCTGGGACCTACCGAATCCCCTGTTTTTGCCGATACAAATTGACTGACAAGGCCGTTCTCTTGGCAGAAGCGCTGGTGTTTGTCAGCCTTCACTGTCCTCATGTGTTCCAGGTCGACTGCGGACAAAACACAGCGCGACGTGAGAAAAGTTACAAAAGATAGATAGATAGATTTATACGGTTTGTATACAGCACTCTCGCAGGGTTAACTGTTACATATCAGAACATAAACACACAAGATAACTATTTAGACTTGAGTTAAGATGGCAGGGGTCTGCCTAGTGTACAATGATGGGGCACATAAAGGCACGTGAAAACAAAACGTAATTCAATTGTTATGTTGCTTTCCAACCCAGCTGCAGAATCCACCGAATGTTGTATTTTTTGGAGGGAGTAATTTCAGGAGATTTGAAAGTGGAAATGATCAATTCAGTAGCCCCGAGCTTCCACTGCCAGCTGGTATTAAAGCTGGATGTGACACATTCCTCAGTGTAAGCCTAGTACAGTTGCACCCTGAAGCCATGAACCTCTGTTTGACCTGAAACAGACAAACCAGCCCAGCTGTGGAGAAATGCTTAAGAAACAATACATGAATGACCGAAGACTTGAGGCTACACTCACAGTGAGAGTGTAGATGGAGAAAACAGTTTGACTTATGAGTGTGCTGGGCCTTTAAGGTGGGCGCAAGGGCCCAAGATCTGGGTCTGTCACCTACTGCCTGATTTACTGTGAGCACACAATGACAGCACCTTCCTTTTCAGCTATTGTGGTGATGTCCCTGTGCATTCGACTCCTGTGCAGTGATACCGAGTGCTTTGCTTCTCCCCATCCTCACTATGGGGTCATGCTAGGGTCGATGAGGAAGGTCACCCGGGGGTCTTGTTGCTGAAAGCAATAGCTTCGTTCTTTATTTCTGGCTTTGTGCAGAAAGGTGGCCACGCCCGGTATCTGGTGCATACATGTCTATGTTAGCTGGAGGAGGTCAGGCTACTGTACGGTGTTGCGTTTCTCTCGTCCCCCCGAGTTTTAGTCTTTGTGTGAGGTTTCATTGAAGTTGTCAAGGATTTACCCCGTTCTCATGCCCCTAGTGTGTGTGTGTGTGTGTGTGTGTGTGTGTGTGTGTGTGTGTGTGAGACAGAGAGAGAGAAAGAGAGAGAGACAGAGAGAGAGACAGAGATGGAGCCAGAAGAAGAAAAAGAGAGAGAGACAGATACATAGTGAGGAAGAAATGTAAACACTGCACTAATCCTGTTTCATTAATATTTCAGTCATATGACATATGACCCAAAAATGCTAAAGGCCAAAAAAATACATTTAGACAGAATCATTTTAGACTAAAATGAATATTACCATCATCATAAGTGACATATAAACACAAACCTTTCTGGGCAAGGGCAGACACTTTTAGAACTACTCAATGTCCAGGGCAGACTGTCATGTCTCTGCCTGTACATAAACATAGCTGTCTCATAGGCGTCAGCAGGTTATTAATTCCAGTCATTAACAGTGGAGGTACCCAGCATGCTACTAGAAGTAAACACTGCTAATCCTTTGGATCCTGCACACTTGGGAAAGGTTATCAATCATGTGTCAGAGTCAGATTAACCAACATTAACATAGTGGCTTAGGAGCTGAGGAAGGCACGTTACTGTTAAGCAAAAAAGGTGTACAAATGAGTGAGATATCTGTATCCAGCCTGTGCCTGAGGAAAATTTAGAACAAGGCTGCAAAGGAAATTTAAATAACAGCAATTAAACTAGAAGAGGTGTCGGTTAAGATGAAGCGCCACAAGAGTAAGACTGAAAAGCATAAAAAGTCTGTTTTAAGTTGAATCTTACATAAACTTTTTGGTTGATGTGTAGGAAATACGCAAGAACTTACAGCTGAAGACCAACAGACCTTCTAAAGGATTTGCCAAGTGTCAGTTGATGTGTAATGGCAGCAGATTTAGTTAGGCTACACTCTCCATCTGCAGTCTCTGGGCACATGGGCTCAAGCATTACATTTAGTCCTGTCGTTGTAGATGTTCGAATTATTTTTGCTCAGAAAAAAATTCTACAATTCTTTGACAAGTAGGCAAACTTTGAGAATACATATGATTGAAAGCTGCAAAATGTCCAATGAATGCAACTTGTGGTGAGATTAGTTTATAAATATACTGTATATTCTAATCAATAAGAAAGCAGGACAGCTCTCAGTCTTGTACATGGTTTAAAGTTCATAGTTTGTGAACAACTATGTAGCTCCTTGTCGTCACAAAATACTACTGTAGGTGGGCCCACTTTCTCACACAAAAGCCTTTTTCAGCATGTGCCATTTCTCTGTGTAAACTGAATACAAGGCTAATCCCACAGTTTTAGTGTTTTGCTCCATTTTTCTCCCTAATGTACCCATTTCTACTTATCAGGTTAAAACAATCTTCCTCCAATGATCTGGTTTCCCTCCGTTTCTGTCAAACTGTACATCAGCTTAACAACCCCTAGGAAGTGACTGCAAACACGAAATAAACTGTTTAGGCCTCTGAGCGCATACAGATAGTGGAGGGGATCATCACTCGTCAAGAGCGATGGCTCTCCCTCGCTCTGGTCACCATCAGTGTTTATTTAAAAGGGCTGCCTGTCATTGCAGTGAATTACAAGACAACAGTTAGAGATTTATATCTGGTGGATAAATTAGGCTTTTACCGTAAATAATTGGTTTGTTATTGCGGTGACCTATTAAATGGGAACACAACCAAATGAGAAGAAAATATGGATGTTTCTCTCCACAAGTGAGTGTCTACGGGGATGTCAGCTTAGCTTCTTTATGGAAAGAATCCTCTCACTGGCAGACCTGATTATCCTGAAACCAGACAGGCTTGGAGAGGTTTTTTATGTCACTTAAAAACTTCAATTTAGTAAGGAGGTTGGACTTGGATGTGGGATGGATCTGCCCAGAGCATGTTTTTATACCGATGTCCCTGCTATTTCACCTTCCCAGAAAGACTGTTGTGCGTCAACTATCAATGACTGAATTTTTTTTTTAAACTGAAAGCTGTATTTGAAAAATTAGTATTATCATAGTTGTATTGACTGACTTAAAGTGACACAAGTGTGTTTACATGCACCAGGTATCCTGTTTCTGATCAGGTTTTTGGAATTCTGTTTTCAAAACCACGTTTTGAGAAATCTGGACATGCTAGCTCGACTACTCCGATGGAAACCAGGATACTGTGACATGTAAACATCTTACCCAGGTTTCCAAACATTCTCTGTTTGTAGAGAAGTGAGTAGTTGAGATGTTAAGGAATAAAGACACACCTGCACACATGTTAAAGTTACAACCCAAAAAAGGTCAAAACGTGGATACCAATATGCATGTAACTGCACTCTGCAACTTTTGAAGCAAGAAATAACATATACCTGCAAATGGAAATGCAATATTGCTAAGTTAGCAGGGGCGGTTGGTGTGCCAGCCTTACTCGAGAACCTTTCCATTTATCTGAACATGTTTTCTTCATGTCTGAATGAGTAGCCTGGTCACCTTCCTGTAAAAGTTGCTGCGGCAATCCTCCTCAGCCAGACCACGTAACATTTCTGTATCACTTTCAACACAGCACACTAAACTGCATGTCGACACATCAGCGGAAAAGCCCGTACAGGTGATGTACTTCAGGTTGTGTAAAGTGAGTTCGGAAAGGATTTTTTCACATTTCAGCACCAGTATTGGTCCAAAAACATCACAGAGCTCAGCAAAGACATAATTTGCAGCCAAGATCATTAAACACCTTTCTCAGTGACTATGCTCTGAAATTTCACACCTATTACAAACTGAAATGTCCATAAAAATAAAACTTAACTGTAATGAACAGGTCAGATTAATGAGACCCACCGGTAAAAAATGTAATCCGGGTTTTAAAAACCATTAACAGAAGTTAAATTTCAGTTAGTTTTTTTCCAGCTGTTTGTAGGAATCTTTCTGAGTTTGCTAAATATCTGCAGCATTAAAAACAGCAGCAGGATCCATATAAGTGTCTCCAAAGAGAAGAGAATGGATGCATTTACGTATGAAACAACAGTGGTAACTTAATTAATTACTTTTAAATACAAATTATCCCTGACATGGAAACAGGATCGATCAGGATCTTACAGTAAACGGCATTGTGTACTTTTCTTCCCATCAGACAGGTGAGCTGTTACGCACAGTCACAGTTTGTAAATTCAATTTAAATCCCTTGTTACAGTCTTGAGCTCCATCACAGCAATTGCATTTTTTTTTTCTAGTAAAAGTTATATCATCATACATGAACAAAATTTTAAGTGTCTAAGAAATCATAAGTCAGCAAGGCTATTAGTTATCTGAACTTTTTGACAAGGTTGCTGTTATTTTAGATTTTTCTTTTGTTTATTAGTACATGAATATGCACTATACATTATTTAAAGTCCAACGTTGCATGTGTAACAAACATTGGGTGTGTACCATTGCGCTCTGTTGAACAGAATGGTCTGACTGTATGTAATTATTATTGTGCTATAGAGAACAAAAAAAATACACTCTAGCTTGTTTGTATTTCTTCAAACCAATCCCAGTCGTCATGGGCAGGGCTAAGAATAGGATGCAGCTTTAGTGTTCCCTCAAGATAGTGATGGAAGGAATCGTTGTGGTGGAACATTTGCATGAATACAATGGTTAGACCTCAGAAAAGATAAACAGCAGGGTTGCGTGACTGCACAATGCAAATCCTCTGCAAAACTTGATATTTTCAGTGCGGCAGTTTGCTAGCCCAAAGCTGGCTGTCGTTGTTTCTACAGCAAAGAAAACATTAACGCGTAGGACATCCGATGAGTCGGACTAACATAAAAGTGACTATGTCTGAATGACAGAATGCCATCACTTCATCAGACTGAAGAAGCCAGGCACATTGGATATCCCATGTCTGAAAAGCTATTTAGTCTGGTACACCTAACAGACTATGGTGATTTGCGCAAGCTAATGTTAGCAAATTTTAGCTAGAGATTGCTTTGGAACTGATATTACAGAGTCAGTTTTCTGTCATTGTTTTATTCTGTAATTGTCACATACTGTAAGGCAACAGCACTATTTCATAACCTCTGCTGGACAGGTTTGCTAACATTGGC